CATCGATACTCAAACTCACACACCCCACACCCACATCCACACTCTAGCTCGTCTCTTAACCAGCTCAACCCGATGTTTAGTATTACCGGAAAAAAAAGCAAGTACACTAAATATTTAATAGACTACCAGTAAATAAAAAAGATACTTATAAATAGATCATCGAAATCAACATCATACCTATCTAAATCGTGTTTTATCCTGCTAAATAGATTGGCACTATGTGTGTATTATTTAATAAGCTTATTTCTGCTTGAAAAATTATTCAGATACGTTACTCATTAAAATGACAACTAATATATTGAAAAAACTTAATACTGACTTTTTGTTGTTTGGCTTGATGATGAGTAGGTAACACGGTACACCTCTTTTTGCGAATGATTATTTTTACCTTCGCAGTAAGGCATGTTTATATGTTTCTTGCTCTTCGTTAAAATGTTGGGTTTTTTTCTCTTACTTTTTTTTCTTACACACTCTATCACGAACGTAGCTATACAAGATGCATACTTTGTGCATGAAACGATTTGCTTCAGTGATTTATGTATAGCGAATACTGCGTACAAAATAACATTGAAGCATACTCATACTTGCAAAAAAAAATTAATTGCTTATATTGACGAATGTAATATACTATATTCATGTATACATAATTAAAAACTATCGATTTATATTTTCTTACATGGTTGACATAAAGTCAACGCTGTAAGTCACGGTTAAAGAAATATTTGAGCGAGTGTGTATTGTCACAGATAAGAAAACTGACAACGATACCTCACATCCTTCTATCATTTCCATGATTTATCTTTATTGATAGAAGAAGATTTCATTGAAAAAACCATAGCGAATAATTCCTTTGTTCATTCTATTACAGTCGTTTTACAAATCGTTATTCATATTGTGGGTGTGGGTGTGCGGTGCGGATGTGGGGTGTGGGGTGGGTGTGGGGTGCGGATGTGGGTGTGGGGTGGGTGTCGGTTTGGGTGTGGGTGGGTGTGGGTCTAGGTGTGGGTGTGGGTGGGTGTTGGTATGGATGGCTGTTGGTGTGCTGTGGGTCTGGGTGTGGGCATTAAAAGAAGGAATAAACCACACCCACACCCACCCACCCACATCCACACCCACACCCTTATAAATGAAGATGAAACAGATCGTGAGAATTTAATAACAGCATCACCAATTCTGAAATCAAATGAAAATAAAAAAGTTGAAGCCATACTAGGTAGTTATCAAAAAAGAAAAAAAGGCATGTTTAATCCACAATGGCTACTTACGAGGGAACATTCCCAAGTGTCACATCGCTTTTGAGTCGAGAGTATGAGCATTATGTAGGTCCTAATGATCTATGAATACTCTGAAAAAAGTTCGTGCTGCTAGCTTATTGGTGCCGAGATATTGCATTTTTACGGTATTCTTGAACAATGAATGCCGTGGTTCCCCTCAGGGACACCAGAAATACTAATTCTCGAATTTCGATTTAAAGTTTTGTATAGAGTTCGTGAATCCATCCATATACTTGAATAGAGTATATGAAATGTTCATATACCCAAAAAAAGGCTTAAGATGGATCTCCTAAACCCTTCTTGGATGTATGAAAGGGTTTATTATTTTCATAAACTCTTATCAGGGTTTCTGAAAATGCAACGAATAATAAACTCTTTAAGGGTTTATGAGCATCAAATACCCTTTCATAAACCCTTAAAGGATTTATTCTACGTTTTTTTTACAGTGCATCGGGTCCTACTCAGATTCGAGTCCAAAAATTTTGTGTCGACCGGGTCCGAGTCCGAAAATTGTTGGACTATAGATTCTACCGGTGGGTCTCATCAAGTTGAATATATGAATAAGGTGAAAAACGACTTTATGTTTGTTTATTCTATATTCACAGTAAAGACAAAGGACACAAAAATATAAGTACAAAAAGAAAACAAATGATTTTATTCTATGTTGATCTAAGGGCGATAAATAAAATTGAAAGAGATTATCTAGAACAAAATAAATAATTATATTATGATCTGTTCATTTATATCCTATCCTATTTTCTATAATATATACAAAAGTGCAATTTCTATCCGTTAATCTAAGCATTTGTGAATAATATTTAATAAATTTTGAGAGTAGCAAGCATTTTCTTTTCTTTCTCTGAACATGCGATAACGTACGAACAAGAATATAGAATAGCGATTATGACAATATCAGATAAACGAAAGAAAAAAAATTCATCTATGAATTAATTGCTTGGACCATACCTCCACGCTATATTTTTTTCTCGTCGGGTCATCCGTTCATTTTATTCGATGACAACAATAAGTGCAAATGAACAATGAACATATACATATGTATATATATATATATGCATTTAAAGAGAAGCATTAGTCAAAGTTAACATGAATCAGTCAAACGTTGGTCTTCTTGATTTACCTAATGAAATATTATTTATCATTTTAAAGAAACTTGATAATATGGATGTTCTCTATTCATTATTGGATGTTGGTAATCAACGACTGAATATGATAGTACAAGAAAAAAT